AGGGAAATTAAAATTTTAAGCTGCCGGAAACAACAGTAGTAGCGTCCTCTTGGGGCACAGACCTTTACTCCCCTGCCTCTCTCGCTGCCTGGACCCTCCCCTTGTTGCTCCTCAGACATTCCCCCCCCCCACTTCCTTTGCTTCCAAAACCAATTTTCCCCCCACTGTTTTTTGATCTGGCAGCCAAAAGATTCTTTTTTTGCTCCATGAAGATCTGGCTCATTGGCGGCAAGGAGAGGACTTCTGAGTCTTCTCTTTGTATCATTTTTAGGGCTATTGGGACATAAATGGCCACATTTAGAGGGCACATTTACCACTGCTAGACCCCCAAGTTTCAAAACATTTGGGTCATCTATTGATTTTTAGGAAATTCTTAAACTTTATAAAAATAAAATCATTAAAAAATAACCCATGAGAGGATCTGATTGAGATTCAGTAGTACCTCTCTGTCTCCCTCTCCCTCTGGCTTTCACTCCCCTGAAAGCCTGGCCACTTGACCCAGCAGCATCACCCATACCTCACCCTCCTTTCCCTCTCTCTCACTCTCTCTCACTCTCTCTCTCTCTATATACACACACACACACGTTTTATATATTTAATTCTGAATTTTATACACACACACAGACACACACAACTTTTTATATATTGGGGTGGGGTAGGCTCAGGCTTCTTGTGAGAGAGAAGGAGCACACACAGAGAGAAGCCATTAGAAAAAAAATATGAGAGAGATTCAAAGAGGAACAACAAGCAACTTATGGGAGCTTTTTAATTTTTTTTATTTTAATAAAAGAAAATTGGGAAGGAAGACTGCAGTGCTAGAGTAATGGAGGAGTACACAAGCCAGAGGACATACACAAGTCAAGTGAACTGGGGCAGTATTACATTGGCCCCCTCCCTTCTGATCTTTCGGAAAAGAGTAAAAACCTGGCTCTTCGAGCAAGCTTTCGAAACTTCAATGTAACCAGACAAACACAGTATTATGAAATAATGAACACAGAATGGCATAAACAATGTAAATGGATAAGGAGTTGAACTGGAATACATTGATTATTATAGTTTTAATAGTTTTTATATCGATTTTATTATGTGATTTAATTGTTTTTAGCTGATGTATGTATGTATGTATGTATGTATGTATGTATGTATGTATCTTGTAGCATCTAATCATTGCCCCTTTGTACACCACCCTGAGTCACCTTCGGACTGAATAGGGTGGGATAAAAGTGCTACAAATAAATAAATAAATAAATAAATAAATAATAGTCAGTCAAAGAGATGAATGAAAAGAAGAGCTTTTTTGGTAATATTTTAAAAGTATTTTTGGGGCAAGGTGCAGGACTGCATAGAGAGAAGCAAGAAGATAGGGCTGAGGAGGAATTGGATTCTCCCCATGGAAACTCAAAGGAGTCAGCCCTCTCCCTTCAATAAGCCACCCCAATATTTAAACAAACACCTCCCAAATACCCTTTCACAGCCCCTCAAATGCATGGCCACCCTCACTTCCTTAGTGAAATAGTAAAAAAAAGAGAGAGAGAGAGAGAGAGAAGGAATGAAAGATGTTAGACTAAGAAAATTAAATTGAATTGCCAAAGGAAAAGATTAGAATTGAGTCCAAATGCAAGCAAAGTGATCCAAAGAGCAGTGCAACAGCAGTGCAAGAGCTAGCTAACATGTGAGCGGCTTTCTTCTTCTGATTGGCTGAGGTAGGCAAGAGGGCTCACCGCCTCACAGGAATCCCCTGTGCACATGTAGATACCACTCCATGCATCAAATGTAACTGAAAAAAACCAAAAGTAGCCATTTTTTGCAACCGTGTGTTTTGTTACAGCCAAAGAAAACATGGCTGCCCAGCCCATTCCGTAATGGATGAACAGGTAGTAAAAAAAGCTGAATCATCCGGAGCCTGTTTTGAAAAACAGATCTGCGCACAACCCTACTTGGGAACAGGAACAAAATCTACAGTGGTGATGATTAAAATAGAAAATAGTGCACTGCTTTTATCTTCTGCAATTTACTCATAGCTTCTTCTCCATTCTGCTTTGCTTTGATCTCTCTCTACTAGCTAACTGTAACTTTCTTAATATCCGTTTTAATCTTGTGGGAATATCTCTGTCTTGATGTAGCCACCGAAATGTTTGCAATTTATTTTATATCTTACTTGCACATACTTATGAAGCATACCATTCTTGCCTGTGATAACTGACTGTCATGGCAAGTTGTAGCCAGCCAGAAGCAATCCCCAACTTTGCTAAGCATAGAACTGAATAACTTCTGACTCTTGCTGTAAAATGTCATATCCTTAGTGAGATAATTAGTAATTTGGACTACAATTTTCATATTCCGTTGCCAGTGGTTTTGTTGTTCGGAGTTTCCGATGGTTGATTATCCATACTTTTGGAAAGCCGTAGCTTCATCACTATGGAGTAATGGAAGGACTTTATATTGTCTATCTAAAAGCAGTTGTCACCATAGGTCTCAGAGGTGGGGAGATTTGCATACTGACTTCATTTCAGAGAAAACATTGAGTTCTCTCCAGGGAGATGTTCATCTCTATTCTAAGGATTCAGTCTAAGAACCATTTCATAATCTTGCTTTATCATGTCCTAAAATGTCCTCTTTCCTGATTTAACTTCCATTACTTTTTGTTGTTTTGGTTTTTGTGTTGATACTCATCTCTGCAAAATCTTAGACAGATAGCTGCTTTCATTGTTCCAGCAAGAGCAGCAAAATAGTTTAGTGCTTTAAATATTTAATGAATGTATTATTGTATAAACTTTGGGAGTCCATTTCATTCATCAGATTCCTCAAGTGTATCCTCATTTGCCAAGTTGGAGTGGGGAGGTGAGGCAGGGGGTAGGATAAACATTAAGGTCTAAAGGAAATGAAAGTACAAAGAGATTAAAATTGTATTGTCAAAGGCTTTCATGGCCAGAATCACTGGGTTGTTGTAAGTCTTCCAGGCTGTATGGCTATGTTCCAGAAGAATTCTCTCCCGACTTTTCACCTGCATCTATGGCACGCATCCTCAGAGGTTGTGAGATCTGTTGGAAACTAGGAAAATGAAGTTTATATATCTGTGGAATGTCCAGGGTAGGAGAAAGAACTCTTGTCTCTTTGAGGTAGGTGTGAATGTTTCAATTGGCCACCTTGATTAGCATTTAATGGCCTAGAAGTTTCAAGGTCTGGCTTCTTACTGCCTGGGAAGATCTTTTGTTGGAAGTGTTAGTTGGCTCTGATTGTTTCTTGTCTGGAATTCTTTATTTACTGGTATGATTTTAGAGGTCTTTAATACTGGTAGCCAAGTTTTTTTCATTTTCATAGTTTCTTGTCCACATGCTTATGGATTTCAATGGCTTCTCTGTGTAGTCTGACATGGTAGTTGCTAGAGTGGTCCAGCGTTTCTGTGTTCTCCAATAATACTCCACCGCAGACATCAGAAGAGCTGCAAGACCGGGAACAAGCCACGAGAGTAAAGACAAAGATCCATTCAGAGGAAAAGTATTCTTACCGTACATCAAGGGAATTACTGACCTCAAAATAATAATAATCATAATCATCATCTTTATATATCCCGCCACCATCTTCCCGAAGAGACTCAGGATGGCTTACAAGGCACTCCAGGGTGCACATATAACAAACAACAAGTAAAAATGGTGCAAAAGTATAAAACAAATTACTTAAAGTTATAACAACACCCCCCCCCCTCCGGTGAACCCATGTAGCATAAAATCAAGATTATACAATTTTAAAATAACAGTAGATAAAAGTAACTGCCATCAATTCACAAGGATCCATAATAGGGAAGCTGATGAAGAAACACAACTTACAAACTATCTACAAACCCACTAAGAAAATCCAACAAATGCTACGTTCAGCAAAGGACAAGAGGGATCCTCTCACCTCTGCAGGAGTCTACCATATACCATGCAGCTGTGGACAAGTCTACATAGAGACCACCAAATGCAGCATCCAAACATGAATCAAGAAACATGAAAGGCACTGCAGACTACTTCAGTGAGAGAAGTCAGCCAGAGCAGAGCACTTAATGAACAAACCTGTACACAGCATATTATTTGAGAACACAGAAATGCTGGACCACTCTAACAACCACCATGTCAGACATTCCACAGAAATATAAACCTTATTTTCCTAGTTTCTAACAAGGCCTCACAACCTCTGAGGATGCCTGCCACAGATGCAGGTGAAACATCAGGAGAGAATGCTTCTGGAACATGGCAATACAGCCTGGGAGATTAAAATTGTGTTTAACATCAATATATATAAAATATGCCCAGTGATAATTTCCAAAGTAGTGTTGACAATACATGCACCCTACTATTACTTAACAATTCAACATAGAATCATAGAGTTAGAGAGGTCTGTTCCTATTTGAAGCTTCATTACATTGTCTACTGCAAACATGCTGCTGCAACTTGATACTTAAAAATATTTCTCCTCCTCTCTCTAACCAGGCCCCCAGTGCTATAAACCTTCCGGTTCAGTGGTTTTCAACCTGTGGGTCCCGAGATGTTTTGGCCTTCAACTGGTAAACTGGTTGGGATTTCTGGGAGTTGTAGGCCAAAACACCTGGAGACCCACAGGTTGAGAACCACTGTTAGCTAGACCAGGCATGGGCAAACTTCAGCCCTCCAGGTTTTTTGGACAATTCCTAGAAATTCCAGCTAGCTTACTGGCTGTTAGGAGTTGTGGGAGCAAAAGTCCAAAACACCTGAAAGCCCAAATTTGCCCATGCCTTTGGTAGGCAGTGGAAAAGTAAAAGGGGGGCTGGTCAGTCATAAAAATCAAAAACCAGTTTCTTTGTTAGAGGCTTTATTAACTGGGCCATGCCAGCATTTAGAATTTAGAAGCCAGCAACACCTTAACTGTAATTGGGTACAAAGTTTGGTAACTAAGATTGAATGAGATGATATAGTTACATGTCTCATCTTCATTAGAAGAAAAACTGAAGTTTTGTTTTGTTTTTTTTTACATTTATGTAGGTACCCAGAGTTGGCATCTGTCTGCAAAAATTCAAATACCTTAATATTATACCCTGGAGCTGGAGCAACAAATTTGGAAGAAATAAATATAAACTCCTCTGATCCCTGTATAATTATCATCATTGACGGGACATGGAGTCAGGCCAAGGATATATTTTTTAAGAATTCACTTTTTCGAATACCTAAACAGGTAAGTTTTAACATTGTATGTTTACAGTAATGTTTCTATATGTGTAAGTTTCAGTCAATGACTGATATCTATGATTGGAAAGGATGGGTAGCTGCCACACATAGCATGATGCTTCTCTTTGTATCCATATTGTTTTACATAGTACATGCATTCATGGAAGCAGTGCTGATGAGGTGCCAGCATGTGTCTATGTGTACAAGGTAATAGACATTTTAGGTACTGTATACCTGTATACCTGGTAGTGCAATGGGTCAAACCACTGAGCTGCTGAACTTGCTGACAAAAAGGGAGCGGGGTGAGCTCCTGCTTCTGCAAACCTAGTAGTTCGAAAACATGTGAGTAGATCAATAAGTACCGCTTCTGCAGGAAGGTAATGGCACTCCATGCAGTCATGCTGGCCACATGACCTTGGAGGTGTCTATGGACAATGCCAGCTCTTTGGCTTAGAAATGGAGATGAGCACCACTCCCCAGAGTCAGACATGACTAGACTTAATGTCAGGAGAAACCTTTACATTTACCTATACATATAGTGGTATGCTATAATTTTTCTCTTCACAGAAAAAAAAAACAGGATTTGAAACTGATAGAGACCTTATGTGGATGGCTGCATTAATTATGGCTTTCATTATGGTACTTTTACAAACAAACTTTTGTCATTTAACTTCTGCATTAGCACATTGTCAAAGAAGTGCTGGGTTCAAACAGGAAGGAAAAAAATCAAGGTATTTTGTAACAGGCCATAGTTTTGGCTACTACCTGTGCATTACCTGACTGCAGGTGAAAACCAGTTCCATCACCGCTTGTCACTGTTCTTTTGAAAACAGACAATTTGTTCCTCTATAAATGATTTATCATGATTGATATGTAGTCATTGGGTTCTAATGTGAAATCATAATGGCAGTTTAATTTTTTCTGCATACAGACTTTATTGGTATGATATTGTTTAAAAAGATTGATTTTGACATTTTAATAATGATGTACCAGCGTTTGCATTCTTTTGAAGTACTACATTTTACTTTCATCAATTAGGTGCTGGTTTTGTTGGCTGACAAACTGCCAATTTTTCATTCTCTTTCATTATACGAATGAAAGGTGCAGATGAAGAACTACCATTGTTTTAAAGAACATAACTTCCTTTCACTTACACTGAACCCAAGATGATGTATTTCACTATGCTCTTTAAAGGTCCAAGCCATGACTCATAAGCTACAAGGTCTAAATATGGGTCCTACGTAGTTTAGGATAAGGAATTGCTTTCCATGTCCCAGCACTGGAGGAAAAAAGAGAGATGAACTGGTGTAAGAGATGCTAGAGACAGCTGATTTGTGTGTAGATCCTATGGGCAGTTTGTTTGAAAGAATTACAACATAGGTTAGGTTTTGTGCCTAGATTCCATCCATTGGAAAATAGATATTTTAGGGGGTGCCAATTTTTGTTAAAAGAAAAGAAAACCTCATGAAACATCAATAGATTCAGGTACAAACCACTCAATAAAAACCTTTAAAAGAAGTATTTTCATGTAGGAGAAGAGCACTTCTTGTGTCAAAGCCCCAGGAAGGCTGGTGAAATTGCTCATTGGATCTGTCCAAGTTGACTAGGTACTACAATAGAAAACAGTTTGTGAAAAACAGGCCTGTTTCACGCAGGACCGGATTAAGACCTTTAGATGGAAAATAATGTTTATTTTATATATTACTTTCATTTTATGTATACGTTTTCTCTTACTTTTTCTGATTGCAAAATCTTTTATTGTGGGAATCTCTTCTTGTGGAATTTAGTTTAGGTGCGCCATTTGCAGTTTTGCACCATATGGTCCATGGTAAATCTGGCAATGGAAAGTTTCTGTGATGCCCCATTCCCTTGATGTCCTAAACATGTGCTTATTTTGCTTAAGTGTTAATCCAGCCCCAGTTTCATGCTATGATCCCCCACAAACATAATTTTGATTAAACACAAGGCAAGTGAATCTGTAGCCTGTTCAATGCGTTACATTCACATTCCTTCTAGGCCTAGTGAACATAACCAATGATCGAATGCGTTTTTAGTTAAGCAACATATGGAAGACAACACATTTCACATCCCTGACCTAAAGATTCCTTTTTAAAATCATAATAGCACATTGTACAAGAGCATCTACAACAATCTCTGTTCAGTAAAAGATGTATGTGGATGGTAACCTCATGACTTTCATAGGGTTCTTTAAGGCAAGGAAAAATCAGAAGTGGTTTTGCCAGTTCCTTCCTCAGAAATATAGCCTGCAGCATTAGGGGTCTTCCATCCAAGTACTAAGCAAGACTTAGTTTCCAAGATTAGGCAGTGGTTTCCAACCTGTGGTTTGTGGACCACCAGTGGTTCCCAAGAACTAAAATATGGTTTGCGGCCTCACCATTACTACATCGTTGCAAAGAGAGCAACTGGTCTCACAAAGCCCTCTTATAGCGCTGAGGCAACAGGGATGTAGGGAGGGGAGAGGCTGACTACCCATGAAAGGTGTGACAACAAGACTCCTGACTGCTGCTTCTCTTCCTCCTCCCTCCCCACATGGAGTGGAGCAGTTCCATGTGATGTCTAGAAGCGGGGGCACCTTGGTGTCTTCGTTTTTAGGCCTTTGCCTGGGGTTATTTGGGGTGCTGGTTCAGAAAATTGCATTGGATCAACCACATCAGCTCTAGATTATTAAATATGGTATTCTGTGGGTGAGCAGATGGTGACTACTGGATGGCATATGTTCTGTATCAGAAACTAGAGCTGATGTGGTCTATCCAATGCAATTTTCTGAATCAGCACCTCAAATAACCACACCGAATATAAAGTTGACCAAAAATTGATTTGTAACCCTTTTGGTACTAATGTTGGAGAGTGGTCCTTGGTCAATGTGGTCCCTGGTTAAAAAAAAAAAAAAGGTTGGGAACCACTGCTTTAGGGTATTTAGGTCCAGTTCAGTAAAAAGTGCCTTCAGCTAACATAGTCCGATTATATTGACAATAGATCTTGTATGATTGATGGGAATGCCAAATTCAGCATGCTGTATAAACCTTTCTGACAGGGTTTAGGTTTTCACAGAACTTCTAGGTTGGGAAGTATAAGAACATACATCAAGTCAGACCATCATTCTGTCCTGCTCCTTGTTGGTTGAATGCTTTTGACAGAAGTCTTTCCCAACCCTTCCTTCACATGTCAGTGATTCAATTTGCTGGGAAGGGATGTGTTTACTACTGAGCCTCTGCCCTTCCCCTTCTCATAAGCTTTTAAAATGTCAAACATAATATGAATATATGGCAAAATTATAGAAGTCTCCATCTCTGCTCATATTGTGGTGCAGGTGCCAGAACGAAGGACTATAAATAGAATATCTAATGGTTTGTATCTCATTTGAGAAAGATGTACTATTGATAGGATGCCAAATCAGTTAACATAAAAGGCTCTCCACCACAATCCTGAGCTGCTATCTTTTTCATCTGCCATTTAAAGTGTTCATTTAACTTTTGTTTATTAGTTTTATTAATTTTAGAGTGGCTTTCATGGCCTCGGGCCTGCAAGAAGAGCAACTTATGTTAATGCATCTTGAAGCATTATAGAGAGAGATGAATGAAAGGGAATTAATACACCGTTCTATCTTACAAGTTTAGTAGTACTAACTTTCAGTTTCATCTACTCTAAAACTCTCATGTAATGTATTCTTAGATTCCTTCCACATTCATTTTTTGTCTGTTACAATTTTATTAAAATATTATTATCGTTTATTTTTTGTTAAGGACTTGCTCATGAGTTGAGTGGGAACCATTAGTATGGTTTTGAGCTTGATGATCTTGATCACTACAGAGGAATGGCTTGACCTTCAGAAATGATACTCAGTTCTAGGGTTGTTTCCTTGTTTGCCTTGGAATTCAGTCTTCAAAGGGGTGGTTTTTTTCAGGACCACATGAAGAACAAGCAATGGTTTGCTGCCACATTCCTGCAGTTGTCAGGGAGAAGGAATGCATCATCTAATATAAAAAATTGGAGTTGTGTTGGATGTGTTGGGATGTTTGGAGCTGTATATAGAGTGCAGAGTATGTGGACATTGTACAGCCCTCCAGATGTTGTCCAATTGCAGCTTCCAGGTTTCTTCGCTTATCACCATGCTAGCTAGGATGGGAGTTGCAGTCTAAGAACATCAGGAAGACCACACCATTGCAATCATTGTTCTACGACAGAGTTATAACAGTTGCTGCCTGTTATAGTGTCTCTTTGCTGCTAATATGCCTTTTTTCATATGTTTATAAATAAAACAAATACTACAAAAACACCACACATCCTTACTCTTCTTTCATTCAAAAGACAGAAGGAACATTTTGAAACCCTTTAGAATTTCTTACATGATACTGGAAGGCTTTGTGAGGTAGGATGGTAGAGTTAACAATATGCTGCTAACAATGGAAAATCATGAAAATGACTGGGTACATAAAGTATAACATTGTATTTGCCAATTCACAGAGGGGGGACCTATTTAGGAATATGTGCTCATCACATTAAAAATAATACATTTGCTGCAACCAGAGTAATGAATATTGGGATAATGTGGTTTAAATTCAGTTGTTAGTCCTAATTTGAACAGACCTGTTAAATCAATGGGAGCTTGTTACGTCAACTTCACATAGGTTCCATTGATTCAGTGGGTCTACTTAAATTGGGACTAACAATTGGATGTGGGCAAAATATTTACCTTTAAGTGCATCTTATCTTTTGACTTCAGGGAGCCAAACCAAGCCCAAGTTTATGTCAAGCTTTAGTAGACTCAGATAACTGGATAAGAAGTTGCTTCTGTGAAATAATTCATTTTTATTAAAACAATATTAAAATGGTCTTTCTTCTTCTATTATATATAGACAGTCAATTGATATTACAGAATATAAAATCTTCCTGTGAGATGCCTAGATTAAAAGATGGAATATAAATTGAATAAATAATTATAGGGAAATGCGGAAAAAATATTTTTTCACTGTCAGAGAGCTTGAA